GAGATTTTTATAGTCTAGTTATTCTTCACCAAGGTGGCTATGACATCTCTTAGATAAGAATGTTGTACGTGGGCCCCTAGTTCCCAAGCATCCTTACTGGGCAAGTTATGAAGGTTTGAAGAAGGACTTAAAGTATTATCTGAAGAAGTAAGATATTGGACAGTTACTTCGTGTCTGCCATGTGCCATGCACTGTCTTAAGGGTGTAAAATGTGTTAATCTTTTAATATTTGCAACCTTTTGATATCTTGGGTATTATTAACACTATTATCATTAACATCATTATATCCTATTTTAATCCTATTTCATAAATACTGAGCACAGAGATAATAAGTAACTTGCCCAAGTGGCAGAGCCAGGTACTTTGACTCCAGAGTAATTTTCTTAATCACTGCATTATACTGTTCTTGAAATGGACATGGCTGTAGCCTCCATCCTTGACTAGGCAAATTTTTTAAGTTTTGTTTTCTTTTTGCTTTCACTTCTGTCTACCAGAAGCAAACCTGCTCTTGACTGGTACACTCCTTTGCGGCAGTTACTTCAGAAGCAGAGATTTAGCTCTCACTGACTTATTTTAATCAGAGAGGTAGAGTCTAATTACTCTTAACCCAACTGCTCTATTTCAAAAGAAATTTAATGAATTGGTTGGTAAACTATGGCCCATGGACCAGATTCTGCTGTTGCTTGGTTTTTGTAAATAAAGTTTTATTGGGACACAGCCAAGCCCTTTCATTTACATATTGTGCATGGCTGCTTTAGCACTGCAATAAGTAATTGAGGCAGAGACTGCATGCCTGCAAAACCACTTATTTTCTGTTCCTTTACAGAACTTGATTGTTCAAGTAGACCAAAGATGAACTTACTTTTGATTAAAAATACATTTTGAGTAAATCCTCAAAAGCTGTACCCTTTTGTTTCTACTTTTCAGAGGAAGAAAGTAAACCGATGTTCAACAGGATAATTTCCTTAAATTAAGCTTCAAAAAACCAAATCCATTGCCACTGATTCAATCTCAGCTCATAGCAACCCTACAGGACAGAGTAGAACTACCCCATAGAGTTTCCAAGGAATGACTAGTAGATTCGAACTGCCAACGTTTTGGTTAGCAGCCGAGCTCTTAACCACTGTGTCACAAGGGCTCCTAAAATAAAGGTTCATTACCTACTTATTTTTGATCACAACCAACAAGGTTGAATAACTCACAAAGAGAACTTAAAGAAATAGCCTTATCAAGTGCTTATTTTATGCAATGCACTGGTTGAGGTACCACTAGGTTGGGGTGGAATACAGAGCTATAGAACAGAATAGTTCCAGATAGTATGGTGCTCCCTATTAAATGAAGAGATATAAACACAGACTCCTGGTATAATGACTCTCTCTACTCTGCTCCACTTGTTAATTTATTTTTCTGGTATAATACCTATCACAGTCAGCTGTACTGTAGAATTATGTAATGGTATCTCTCCCCAAGATGGTGAGAGACACTAGGGATACAAACCAAAAAACCAAACCAGCTGCCATCGAGATGATTCTGATTCATGGTGATCCCATGTGTGGCAGAATAGAAATGTGCTCCGCAGGATTTTTAATGGCTGATTTTTTTGGAAGTAGATCACCAGGTCTTTCTTCCAAGGCACCTTTCGGTGGACTTAAACTGCAATCTTTTGGTTAGATACAGACCATCTCTTATTTATCTTTGTATCCCTCGCAGTGCCTAATAGAGTCCTGTTGCCCTTTCTGACACTCGATTAAAATCTGTTATAAAAAAGATAAGATACAATGAAAGGCAGTTTCTAAGTGCCTTTTAAATGGCAAAGAATGAATTCATCTATCAAAGTTCTCAATCCGACTCCCTCCCACGTCTGTCTGCAGCTATCTCCATGGGAACTATTAAGGAGAGACAAAAATATTCAAATAATCTTATGGTGCACACTGTAAAATCAATTAAAACAACTGAGCAACATTTTTTCCTATAAGAGGAAGCTTTTTTAATATGATGTTAGAGAATGCTGCAGGATTTCATTGGCCTTGTCACATCATTGGAACAAAGCATAATAAGTATCTAGTGTAGATATTGTGTATTCTGCTGGGAATCATTTTACAGAGAAAGGCAGATGTTATGAATCTTTGGATTTAATTTGTTTTATTCAGCAGTATCAGAAATCTTTTTTAATCTTTTAATCCATAAATGCAAAAAAGGGAAGCCACAATAATCCCATGTGTTATATCAATTCCTGACCTGGAATAAATACCTAAGATTGAGCCTTCTTTTACTTTCTATTTTAAATATAAACATTAAGAAATATAAAGATTGCATCTGAAGCCTGTCCTTTCATTGGAGTTGCTCGTGTAATTTGCCTCCTGGGACTTGGTCAGATGTTTGCTCTAAATTCTCAAAGATCACATACTTCCATAGGGCATGCTTATTTCTTTTCAAAGGAGCAGCACAGAATGGATCCAACCGCATAGTAATATATCCCATGATGAAACCTCCTGACTGATAGCGCTTGCCGAATAAAGCTCATTTTCTGAAAGTGCACCAAAAGAGTTTTGTGTGGTCTCATCCCATCTCCCATGACCTATTAGTAGCTTCTTTGACTGGGCTCCAGAATTCTGAATTGGTTCAGTGACAGATTCATAAAGCCTTCTTTTCATCTTGACTACTGTTCTCAGAGCTGCCCCTCTCCCACAGAGCGTTCTTTTTTAAACTATCCTTTCTAAGAATTTTTACTGTAACCCCATAAGAATTCAAGCTTTATCTTCCTTTTGTTCCTTTTCAACATCAATTAGTTTGTGAGGCAAACTGAGAAAAGATAAATCTACAGTTTTGAACTATGAATATAATTCAAAGCTGACATTGGCTTATCAGCCTGATACTTCTCTCTCTTTTACCCTTAAATATTCGATGCCACAAAATACAAATGTTCAATATATGTTTGTGGAATGAAACTGAGTTGAATGAAATGCTCAGTAATGAAAAAAAAAGGCAAAACTTGAAGGAAAAAAAAAAAAAAACTAAACAAAATCAACTCCTAGGATATAAAGTGAAACAGCTGTCGTAATTTCCTCACTACTTTTAATTGCTCCTACGCATAACATACTGATTTCAAAGGAAAGAAATTGATCCTAAGTCAAGTTAAGGGACACCTTTTAAACTGAGAGTATCTAACTGAATCACAGAAATCTTTGTGTTCATCTGTTGTGAGGCTTTTATGAGGTTGACAGATTATAAGGGGACTGAAAGCAACAATCCATGAAACGTGCTGCTGAGGTATTCCCAACAGTGTAGAAGTAAACAGTCACCTTAAAAATGAGCAAAAAGAATGCTTTGTGGTAAAAAATGTTTTCTCCATTCATAGGCTATGAAACTCCATTGAGTAAACAGCTTCCATGTACCCAGTGCTGTGACAGCAACTATTATATAAGACCAAGACAGAAACTGGCAATCATTGTAATGGCACTGCAATGTAATTTCTAGTTTGTTTTTTTGGTAAGACATTGGATATAAAAGGCAAAAATAATCCTACGGCACTAATATCAGCTTGGGTTTTAGTGGTATTAAAGTACCAATTTGAACAGACAGTATATATGTTTGGCATGCATTTCCATGGCCTTCAAAAAGTGTACATTGAGCTGCAGCGTGGACATGAGCCAGGAGGATGGGGCCAGTGAAGCAGAGTTCCCAAGCGTTGGCATCTTCTTTGGCTATGAGCTCTTTTTTGTTGTTTTTTGTTGGTAAAAACACACTTTCCCCAAGGAAACACATTCCAATTCTTCATAACTTAAAAAAATTGCAAAGCCAGAAAATCACTTTGCTTTGTGGCTTTAAATTACTATGTTTGTGTCTTTTGTTCTGTGTTTTGTTTTGTTTTCCCTGCAATGCACTATTACCTTGAAATTTCGTGGTCGTCTACCAGCACCTAGGTTTCCTGTATAAAAACACATTTTCTTTCTTCTTCTACTCGTTTTTTTTTTTTTTTTTTAACCATAAATAAACCAAACATTCTGAAGCCATCATTTAAACATGGGTGCTTCTGCTCCTGGGAAATAAATAATACTTGACCTAGTTCTGACAACTTAGTTTTTAAAATATAATGTATATTCTCAGTTTTAATTTAATGTTCACAACTTTCCCCTCCACCCAGCTTTCCAAAAATGCTTCTTTTAGGCATTTTACTCATAATCAAACAAAAAAATGTTTAAACTTTGTTTAGAAAATACAGAATAATGAATCAAATTTTCAGACTATTCCAAGATAGAGAAGCAACTCACTTGGGAAATAATGTGTTGGCCCACAGATGGATAATCTGTCTACGCACTGAAGAAATCACACCTCCAATTTAGGGGGCTGTTAAAACTATCATGCATTCCTCTAAAAAAAGATAAAACATTTGTTGCATTTTGAATACTGCAGCTAATATACATTAGTGATGTTCAGCCATAGAAGAAAGAGGCTAGTAAATTCTGGTTCTAGACACCTTTGTGAGTATGTTGCATAATAATGTAAAGAACGCTGTGAGTAATTTCCTTAAACAAATACTATCAATACTATTTTTTTTCAAAGTAGCTTATTTTAAGGTAATGATTGTTGCTAAAAGAGTGATAGGCATTTCCCCAATTGTCAAATGACTCCTAGCCTTTCTCCAAGGTACCAAGTGTTGAATGCAACTCATGTTTAGTGACTTATAAAATTATGCTCTGACACATTTGCAGTATTTATGTTTTACCACTATAGCCATATGCCATCAAATTCATATGCTTGCTGTATTCTTCCTTGCCAGTTCAGTGCCTGTTTGTAAGTCATGTTCCCTTGAATGACTCATAAATTAAAGAAAGTTCTAAGAAAACTATAAAGAACAGATTTACTTTTGGTAATGCTTTATTCACTAGGCTAGGAAATTTTTTCCCCCACAATATTTCAGTGAATAATTCGTAGATTCAATAGGTTAACATTTGAGAAAGAAACATGATACGTAGTGGGGGGAAATACTTGATACTCACTGTAGAGAATAGTTCCATTTAAACAGCTTGTTTTTATAGTCAAGTAGATGATAACAGTTCGGTTATGTTCGTTCTCCAGGACAAACGTAAATTCACCCAGGGATGTAAAAAAAGACAGTTCTAAATAGGAATTCCCATTGAAAGACGGAGAATATAAACTTGCATCTAAAAAAAAATTTAAAAAGTCTTATTAATCTGTTCTCACAGTGTTATACTACTACTCAAGTAAATAACATAGTGTTTGTAATTAGCATTTGTTTAAAAAGGTAACACATTTATAAATATTAGACTCAGCTTTAAGAAATTTAAATATACATGTGTAATACATTTATAAAATAAAATGATTAACCACTAGACCAAAAAAAAAAAAAAAAAAAACCCTTTGCCGTCTAGTCAATTCTGATTCACAGCGACCCTGTAGGACAGAGTAGAACTGCCCCATGGGGTTTCCAAGCAGTGGCTGATGGATTTGAGCTGCTGACCTTTATGGTTAACAGCAATAGCTCTTAACCACTGCGCGACCAGGGCAGTGATTAACCACTAGGTGGTGCAAATGTGAAACTGCTTAACTGCTAATCCATAAGTTGGAGGTTCAAATTCACCCAGAGGTGCCTTTGAAGAAAGCTCTGGTAAACTAATAACTTGTTGCCGTTGAGTTGATTCTGACTCACAGTGACCTTATAGTTTCTTTCTTTTTTTTTCCTGGTAAACCACTTCCTAAAAAGTAGCCATTGAAAACCGTATGGAACACAAGTCCACTCTGACACGCATGAGGTGACCATGAATCAGAAATGACTTCATACCCTGTGGGGCAGTTCTGCCCTGTCTTGTAGGATCGCTATGGGTCAAGGTTGAGTCAATGGCCATGGGTATGGTTTTTAATATAAAGAAATATCATTTTTCTATAAGGTGATTGGAAAACAGGTATTTTCCACACTAAAACAGACACAGAGGAAGAACTAAATTTGAATCTAATTTTATTCCAAGTAAATTATACACACACTTAATTACATCTTTCCTGTTCAATTTAAAGACATTTAAAGAATTAGAGTTGTTATACCTTCACTTCTAAATTGAAAAAAACAAGCATCACCAAAATGACTTATTTTTAGAACCATGAGGGGTTTTTTTTTCCCTAAAATAGAATATTTTTTTGCTAAAATAGAACATTTTTCTATATGAAGTATGGGCCTTTTTATTCTATACCCTAACCCACTCATCACTCTGCTCAAATTATCATTCCAATTCCTCAACTCAGTGTTTGTGTGTATGTGTTTTTCCTTCTACTTATGGTAAATGAAAACCAATGTAGAACCTATAAAAAGAACATTAAGATGCCCACTCAAAGCCCATAGAAAAACTTCCTGGGCTGAGGACATTTCTGGCTGTGCTTTCTGTAAAACAAAAAGTCCTTTAAGATTGACTTTTGAAATATCCTTTGTTTGACATTGGGTTGTGCGCTTTTGCCCACTTGGTCAGCACAGGTGAATTTAATTTCCTCTTGTCTTTTTTCTATTATCCACTCTGCAGGCACGTCTTCCACAGAAATCCAATCAGTTTTAAGAGGACCTAGTAGGACAGAACTGCACTTGAAATGTTAGAATGGGGAAAACAGCCAAAGAGTGTTATGAGGCAACACAGACTGACGTGAAGGGTATTTTCATCTCCACATACTTAGTGCCAACTCAGGGCAGAGTTAGGAAAACAGTGCATGATGTGCTGTAAAGTAATACTGAATGGAACAGGTCCGCCAACTTTTCCTTCCCTTAGCTATTTTTATGCCCATCGCTGACCATAGAAAACTTTGGCATGCAGCCCTGTGCTAAGTCAGAGTCAAAGGCAGCTCCTTGGGCCCCTTGGACCCTCTCTACCCAAAGATGCCATGACACCATCTCTCCTTGACTGCCACTACACTCCGCTGGATGGGGACTCTTCACTAATTGCCTTGCCACATCCTTGGACTTCACCTAGGAAGCAAGCTATAAATCATCACATTCTGGGGAATGTGCTCACCATCCTCTGAGCTCTCTTCTTCTCATGGCATTCCCATCTGCTGAGTCATCCAAATACAAAACTGCAAAGCTGTCTTGGATTCTTGTGTCTCATCCACCATCCCCTTCCAGTTCACATTCGTATCCAGTCTTGGACTGATATGAAATTAATTGCTAATCATTACATATCTTTCCTTTTTATTTTTATATGAGATAGAGAGGCTATACAGTTCTAATTATTCAATCACGTCATATGCATGTGAAAGTTGGACAATGGAAAAGGAAGACAGAAGAAACGATGCATTTAAACTGTGGTGTTGGTGAAGGTTATTCAATATACCACGGACAAACAAGTAAGAAGAAATATAGCCAGAATGTTCCTTAGAAGCTAGGATGGCAAGACTTCATCTTGCTTACCTTGTAAGACCAATCACTAGAAAAGGATGTCATGTTTGGTAAAGTAGAAAAACTCAACCTGTTACCCTCAAGTTGATTCCAACTCATAGCGGCCTTGTAGGACAGAGTAGAACTGCCCCATAGGGTTTCCAAGGCTGTAATCTTTATAGGAGCAGATTACCACATCTTTCTCTCGTGTGGTAAAGCAGAGGATCAACAAAAACAAAGGAAAGTCTCAGTGAGATGGATTGACACAGTGGCCACAACAATGAAACTGAAACATACCAACAGGTCGTGAAGATGGCATAGGACCAGGCAGCGTCGCATTCTGTTATACTCAACGGCAACTAACAACAACATATAGTTCTGGATCATATTAGTGAATGTATTCATTGTTTTTCCACTTTAAGAAGATGTAAAAAAGATGTATGTGACTTCCCTTAGGGTGTCTGTAATATCGAAACTATTTTCATAATAATAATTCTAAGATGATATTTCTGATAACATGCAATGTGTTCCTCATTGTTAATGTCAAATAATAAATAGGTGTTTTTTTTGTTTTTTTTTTTTAAAAGAAATGACTTCACAACAACTGGTTTAGTTCAGAGAAAAAGACTCAAAGCATTTTAATGTGATGTTTATAGGTGGGTTTTGAAAATCAACAAACATCCTGAAACTGTATGAAAACTATGTGTACCTGCATATGTGAAATCATAGTTTTCATCAGATTATTGAAGTATTCTGTGAATTGTCAAAACTCATTAAATTATACATTTAAAATCAATACATTTTATTTTATGTGATTAAAACCAAAAAAACCCAAACCCTTCGCCCTTGAGTCGATTCTGACTCATAGTGACCCTATAGGACAGAGTAGAACTGCCCCATAGAGTTTCTAAGGAGTAGCTGGTGGATTTGAACTGCTGGCCTTTTGGTTAGCAGCCAAGCTCTTAATCACTATGCCGCCAATGATGTGATTACACCTCAACAAAAAAAGTAAAAAAAAAAAAAAAGAAAGTTGAAAACTGTCTTTGAGAGGATTTTGATTAATATTCATTAATATTTACAGCTTTCCAATAATACTTAAGATGTTTTGTTGTTACACTACTATAACATGCAAGGTTATTAATAATTTTTAGAATTATTAACATTTTAGAAAATTAATCTTCTAAGTGATTACCTTCACAAAATCCTGAGGCACATATAATTTGAAAAGTACTTCTATATCTATATAATTTATACATTGAACAAGCATAATACATGGGGTGTTTGAAATGGACCTTTATTTCTTGTCTCTTACTCTGCAGGAATTTTTCTCTGATGCTGGATTAAAACTTGGTAGACCCCATGAGTCCTACTTTCTAAGCCATACAATGATTAGTAGACTAAATATAGAGTCTTTAAGAAATTAATTGACTCTTAAATCTTCCTTCAGAGATATGACTCCCCCCTCCCCCCTCAGCTGGCCAAGGCCTGGAGGTGACCTGGCATCTGCTTCCCACCTTGAAAGGCAGAAATAAAACTAGTTTCTATTCTTTTTATTTTTTTACCCCCTACCTTTCAGGCTAGCTGCTGTTTCTGACCCTCCCAACTTTGAACAGGGAGAAGGCAGGGTGGAGTGGAAAGGAGAGAGAAGGACACAGTAAAGGAGAACACTTAGAGCTGGCAATTGGCCCTGTTGTAGGAAGGCTTCTTGCGCTCTGGACTTGGCAGATGTTTAAAACTGATTGTTTCTGTCATGTACGGATGCTAGATAAAGTACAAGATACCAAGTTAAATTTAAATTTCAGATAAATAACATTTTTATTTTTAGTATAAGTATATCCTAAACAGAGCATGGGATATACTTATACTAAAAAATTATCTGTTGTTTATTTAAAATTTAAATTTAACCAAGTGTCTTGTATTTTTAGTTGCTAAATCTGGCAACCCTATGACTCACAAGCGTTTGCACAATTTTTAGAAACCCTTTGCAAATTACAACTTTTAGGATTTGTGTGATAGTCTGCCTTTCGCTGGTCACTTCAATTTTGGCCCCTCTCTGATTTTTCACGTTATATACAGATTCTTGCTGTTGACAACAACTTTACTGTCTAGATGAAACACTTGAGCAGGACAAAATAATGACTCCAGGCCGACTCTCTTTTCTGAGGAACCCCTATTTCGTCTATGGAAAATACTCCTACATTCCTTGCCCCACTGTCCATGGAAGTATAGTTAATTCTCAGTCTCTCTCTGTCTCTGTCTCTTCCTCCTCTACAACAAGCTGCTTTAACTTTCTTAGATAAGAATGTGTGAGTCTATCAGCCAATGGTATTATTTTCCAAGTGGTCTTGTTGCTACTCCAAACACATTGTCAAATACAGTGGGTAGGAAAGGGTAAAGTTCACAAAAAAGCTTCCTACAGAAAAATTTTCTCACAAAATCATGTCTCTCAAATCTTCTCTCTTCACATGTCGACCCTTTTTATGTCAAGAATTATAAAAACAGTTCTTAACACTTGCTAAATCTTGCTTTTATGAATGGTCTCTAATTTTGCTTGTAACATATATTCTGGTGTCTGATAGAAAGTTCAGTTTTAGTATCTGTTTATGTACACAACTTGTGAGGGAGAGTCAGATAAAAATAATATAATTGGTCTATTAACAAATTGCTTGGTTTAAGTTATATGGTATCACATATTTTTCCATTTCTTGGCCCTCTATAAATAATCTTTTTAACACTTTGAAGTTTACCTCTTGCGTTTTATTGGATCATATTTTAAAAAGGTTATTGAGG